ACTAAGCGATTTGTAGCGTAATTTAAGGGTAGTTCGGAGATTGGGAGATGTTTTCCTCGTGTGTCATTGTTTGACTGAACGGTGACGTCGGAGACATTATCTATTACGTCACGTCTTGTTTGTTCTTCGGGTTGGGTAGTAGCATTGACGGTGTCGGTTGTTATATCATTATATTTTTCGTTAAGAACGAAATCGGCGAGATCGAAGTCACTAAGATTGGCGACTGTATCGTCGACATTAGGGACATTGGATCGGGTGTCGGAGGCATCGTTAGTTTGATTGACGTTAAGTTCTATACTTGGTGGGTGTCTAAAGGATTTTACATAGACTGGCCGGTCGTCTTTCGTTCGAATGACGTGTTTAGTTTGACTCGTAAAAGTAAGATCACAATCCTCGTGATACATAATATCTTGATATTCGTGGCATAGGGGCAATAGTTTTGATTTTTCTAAAGGCGATAGGTGATCAAGCCTTAGTTGACTTTCAGGGTTGAATTTCGAGGGGCGATCGAACGGGGGATTTAATAGCTCAAATTGATCCTCAGGAATAACCCTAACTCTTTGGTGGAAATTAATTGAAACGTTTGGTACTGGGTTTGGAATTTTGCAAAATCCGTCATTTACTTCGACTAATGAATCGGGAACTATATGTTCATTAATACGGAACGAAGGGAGAAGAGCAGTTCCATTTTCGAAATTAACTCGGATTAGTAAAGATTTACTATTAAAATTATTGATTGGTTGATGCAGTGGTTTGTTATAGGCAAGTGAAAATGGGATTTTTCAGATCTTTGGTTCCTATTAGCGCGTCGAAATCGTTATGCCAATTTAGTACACGAAGATTAAAATTTAAATTAATCCCTAGTTCTTGTAATAGTAGAATTTTTAAATTTTTATCCTCCTTGTATACTTGTTTACATGCCGTAACTTCAAAGGGTTCAATAAATTGATTTAGTGGATATAAATTGGCTGTTTTTGGCGAAATTATTGAGTCGGAGGCGCCGGAATCAATGAGTACCGTGATTTGTTTTTCAGGAAGGTAAAAATAAGGAAGTTCGATTTGTTGGGCTATGTTGTTTAAGTTAATTCTAGATGGGAGGCTACGTCCTGAAAATTTTCGGGAATTTGCTCGTTATTTTCGACATTATTATCGAAATCTGAATTTGGGTCGGAAAGGTTGTAGTCGTGATGAACGGGTTCGCCGTTATAAATCTGGGAATGATCATAATGTTCAGTATTTTGAAAGGGTTCCGAGGTTTGATAGGATGGGGTTTGGTCATAATCGGGGTGAATTTCGACATTGTAAAATTCTTGAGAAACAAAGTTTCTCGGTCCTGTCCTTTGGAAGAAATTAGTGTAATTTTGAGGGGCTTGTCTCTGCGGATGTGTGCGAGAAGGTCCTATAGCGGAAGTCGACATTGGTACGGGTTCGTCTTGTCGGGTGGTTCTAGTTTGCATGGTTATAGGTTTGGCTTGTTTACCAAACACTTGGGCGTTCGTGGGAAAATGTCGTTGAACTGGTCGGGGTTGAATATTAATCGGTTGACTGGGAAAAGGTTTTGGCTGTGGGATGAAGGCAGGTTGTTGGTTAAAAAACGGTTTAAAATTATTGCTACTATTATTTTGCCTGGGTGACGACGCGTGCAGGTTTGAATTACTGTTTGTAAAGTTAACCTGAGACTCTATCATATTATAGTTTACCACGTGTGAAAAAGCGGCGTCAAGTGTCTGGGGTCTTTGTAACATTAACAAGGTTTTTAACGTATGAGGAGAATTTGCTGTTAAAATAAGTACTGATGTGCTTTGTACTTGCGTAATTAAAATTAATTTTGAGTTTTGATCTTCTACTTCACATTGAATCTTTGAAATAATTCTTTGAATAAAAGTTTTTAACCTTTCTACGAAATGCAAAATGTTTTCGCCTTTGTTAATTTTAATATATTGCAATTGTTGCATTAATATTGGATAAGTTATAGGATCACCAAACTTTTGGCGTAATGCATCTTTAATAGAAGCCCAAGTAGTTAAATCGGGCCTGGCGAGAAGAAAACTTCTAGCATCGTCAACTAATTTCGATTTTACTGCGGCTAAAACTACTTTTCTTTGATCTTCGTTAGTGTTAAAATATAATGAATAAAATTCGTCGATAGACAAAATAAAGCTCTCTAAATGATCTTGATTTCCGGAAAATGTGGGTAAAAGTGAAGTATGGAATCGAAGGTTTTCCATTTCGTTTGTATTACTTATACTTAAACTATCTAACAAATCTACTAAATCCTCTGGAATAGGCGTTAATGATTTATTCAAATCTTCAGAATCACTATCGGAGATATCCGATTCGTTTTTTAAACGAATGCTTAAACCTAAAGAAGCCCTATTGCGCGTCAAAATACTTTTCAAACGTTTGGAAGCGTCAGACATTAAATAATTTCAATTCAGCAATTACTTACAGTACAATCAAGGCAAGATCCATAAAGCTTGTGCTGCAGAGGCTCACAACCAAAGGAAATCCTATAAAGGCGTGGCTGAAGGGCTTAACGTCGGGACGTTGATCTGTTTCGGGAGCTGGGAATTGCGTTGATTATATAGCTGCTGACAACACGGTAGCGAGCTATGGTCTTCAAATTCCTTCAGGATTTCTGAGTAGTGCCGTTGCGATCGTGGAGTCAGTCGGTTTCTTTTTGTTCGGATAATGCACTAAGATTTGACAATCACTTTCGCACAACGAAAAACCGATAAAGGGCGAAATTGCACTATCCTGTTCGCAGCGCCAGTTAAATAACACGACCGACGGAGTACGTTTTAAAAAAGTTTATTTTCGAAAAACAGGGCTTTCCTTAAAACTAAAAACGAACAATTAATGTGAACAGCGAAGGGCTTTGACACTACGTTAATGTTACACGGGAAACGGTGGCAGTCGATTTTATATGGCTGAATCGTTGATTCAGCGTCTATTCAGCAGGATGCGTCCGGTCTAGGGATATTTCTCGCGGTTTCGATTATTTAGACTGTCTTTAACGTTTAAAACCTTACATATTCTGCTATAGGCATTAGATCTATAACTTTGCTCTAAATCATCAGAAGAGATTTAATTTTTTTCTATCAAATCGATGATCTTATAATTTTCAATAAGGTTCAATTTTTTCTAAGGCATTTTTGCTTGTAGTCAATACAAATTTTAAAAACCAATTGTTAACAATTTGCTCACCCCCACAAATCAAGATCTATTTCCACTAAACACAGTGTTCGGTCGCAACACAGTAATGAACCAACCAACTGATATTGTAAAAAATGCGTAGCTTATCGAAACGGCAACACTAAATCAAAACGGCAATAAAGCTGTCGCGCCTAGTGATTCAAGTTCCCGCAACGTATCTAGTGATACGAGCCGACGATGCTTCCTTGACGTCACTCTCAAAGTAGAGATTTGGTTTTTGATTCGTAATTTACCCGCAAAGACACATCCATCGATAATGGATGCTCGCGATATTCAGAAGACTTTCTTAATTTTACTTATATTTTTCGTTAATTTAAAGTTTTGAGGGACAACATTTGCTCACAAATTTGAGCTCCTTTGATTAATGTCAATTGCACATTACAAAATATTTCCATTATAGGGAACGTTAATATTCGACAGGGGACTAAATTCTGTACTTGATGCCGTTTAGAGAAACGGGGTGTCCAATTTAAAAAAAAAACCATTTGAATCGTTTCCGGATTAGGAGCAATAATTATTATGCTGGTTGTACAAGTAATTCAAAAACAAAAAAAGACAGGCACATACGCCTTTCGAAAATTAACTTAAAATGAACCATACCAATAAAACATAAAAAAATATACAGTATGTGCTTAATATTTTAAAAATGACACCTATTTGAAAACGAATTTTAGGGCATCTCATAATTGGGGATAGCTTTATATCTTCCCGACGGTTTCAAGAAGGTTGAGTAGCACATCATTGTGAAGCTCTCCTAAATGGCTTTTCAATGGTCTAATTCAATATTTGGGACAACGTCAGGTTTTTTTGAGATTCCGAAATAAATAAAACGAAAATTTGGTTATTTCATTATTGGGGGCAGTTTTATACCTTCCCGACCGCTTCAAGGTGGTTGTGTAGTAAATCATTTTGAAACTCTCTTAAGTCGCTCTTCAATGGTCTAATTCAATACCTGGGACAACGCCAGATTTTTTTGAGATTGCGAAATAAATATACCTACTTATTTGGGGAGGTGCGAGCGGAAAGGGGTTATTTCCTGTATAGCAACATTGAACATGATTTTTGGGAGTTCCCTTACAACATTTCCTTGCTTGATTTCCCGGAAATTCCACGGGAATACGTTTTTTAAATTAAGGTAAATAACGAACTAGTCCACTGTAATATTCGCAAATCCGAATCCAAATCCAAATCTAACTTCAGCCACATAAACTAGAGGCCTGTAACTGCAGCGTACTTACCCGGTTTTAAATTAGTACAGTGTGGTTCCATTGTTTTGATAAAGCATATTTTACAAACTTGTTAATTACGGTGTCGGATAAGTCTCAGTTTTAAGGATAACATTCTTTGTTGAATGAAGTTGAATGGTCAAATCAAGTCAAATAGTTGTTAGTTACGGGGTTTGACTTATGACGGCGCCTAGATCGACATACAACCAACGGCAGAGCGTCTTAAGACCAAATAAAATTATTCATTATTTTAAACCTTTATTTTGCAGGTAATTGTGATTGGAATTTTTCTTTTTATGGGAACTTCCTTTTGATAATCTTAAGGTCTTAATTGTATTAAAATGATTTTATTTTTTGAGCAAGTTCGCTATTTGGTGGCGTACTTCTTTATGCGATTTGGTATCTATTCAAATACCTTACACAACGCGTTTCTAGAACAAAGTAGGATCGCTTGGGGCTCCGCAAGCTCCTTGGAAATATCGATTTAACCTCTTCGAAATAGCGTGTCTATGACACCGTAAATCGTTCCGTTAAAGACTTTCGGTATTTTTCATGGCAAACAGTTTGCGATAGAATTTAGACCGGAGATCGTTATGTACGATGATAGAGCCGCCCCTTGAGTCTGATGCGACAGGCACTACGGAAGAAGACTGGGAGATTTTCAAAAAATTGACGGAGACGACCAAGGTAGGCATCAGCTTTATTTTTGTTAAGTGAATGTATCGTAGCTACCTAAATCTTAAAAGCGAGAATCAAAAAGCATAGCTTACGAGTAAGGAGAGGAAAAAATGTTGCTGAAAAACTCTGTACCACAGACCTATTGAATACACATAAATAAAACCGAAAAAAAATTGTAACTAAAATTTTTTCTTCCTTGAAACACACGTTGACACGTATAGAGCAAATATCAAAACATAAAAATTTTACAATGACAAAATATTATATGCGATTATAAAAAATTTATAATACAAATTTTATGAGCGCTTTGGGTTCAAAAGAATAATTTGTTTTTTATATATATATATATATATATATATATATATATATATATATATATATATATATATATATATATATATATATATATATATATATAGTATATATATATATATATATATATATATATATATATATATATATATATATATATATATATAAACAAATTATTCTTTTATTATATATATATATATATATATATATATATATATATATATATATATATATATATATATATATATATATATATATATATATATATATATATATATATATATATATATATATATATATATATATATATATATATATATATATATATATATATATATATATATTCTCACGTATTGATTCACGGATGGAAAAATGTGATGACACTATATTCCGGGATATCATCCGTTCGCTCGTTGAACTCCGACTGGAATCCTGCATCCGACTGGAATCCTGCAAATCTTGCATCCGACTGGAATCCTGCAGACGTTTCGCCAAAATCTCACTTGGCATCTTCAATGCTCGTGTTCGAAGTGTTTTCGGAACGCGAGCATTGAAGATGCCAAGTGAGATTTTGGCGAAACGTCTGCAGGATTCCAGTCGGATGCAAGATTTGCAGGATTCCAGTCGGATGCAGGATTCCAGTCGGAGTTCAACGAGCGAACGGATGATATCCCGGAATATAGTGTCATCATATATATATATATATATATATATATATATATATATATATATATATATATATATATATATATATAAACAAATTATTCTTTTATTATATATATATATATATATATATATATATATATATATATATATATATATATATATATATATATATATATATATATATATATATATATATATATATATATATATATATATATATATATATATATATATTCTCACGTATTGATTCACGGATGGAAAAATGTGATGACACTATATTCCGGGATATCATCCGTTCGCTCGTTGAACTCCGACTGGAATCCTGCATCCGACTGGAATCCTGCAAATCTTGCATCCTGCAGGATTCCAGTCGGATGCAAGATTTGCAGGATTCCAGTCGGATGCAGGATTCCAATCGGAGTTCAACGAGCGAACGGATGATATCCCGGAATATAGTGTCATCATATATATATATATATATATATATATATATATATATATATATATATATATATATATATATATATATATATATATATATATATATATATGATGACACTATATTCCGGGATATCATCCGTTCGCTCGTTGAACTCCGACTGGAATCCTGCATCCGAACACTCACTCGAAGTGTTTTCGGAGCGCGAGCATTGAAGATGCCAAGTGAGATTTTGGCGAAACGTCTGCAGGATTCCAGTCGGATGCAAGATTTGCAGGATTCCAGTCGGATGCAGGATTCCAGTCGGAGTTCAACGAGCGAACGGATGATATCCCGGAATATAGTGTCATCACATTTTTCCATCCGTGAATCAATACGTGAGAATATCATACACCTTTACGGGAAGGAGACCTTTACAGCCACCAAGTGTTATGAAAAACTAAGACAAAGGGGTGTTCGAAGTGTTTTCGGAGCGCGAGCATTGAAGATGCCAAGTGAGATTTTGGCGAAACGTCTGCAGGATTCCAGTCGGATGCAAGATTTGCAGGATTCCAGTCGGATGCAGGATTCCAGTCGGAGTTCAACGAGCGAACGGATGATATCCCGGAATATAGTGTCATCATATATATATATATATATATATATATATATATATATATATATATATATATATATATATATATCACATTTTTCCATCCGTGAATCAATACGTGAGAATATATATATATATATATATATATATATATATATATATATATATATATATATATATATATATATATATATATATATATATATATATATATATATATATATATATATATATAAACAAATTATTCTTTTGAACCTCAAGCGGTCATTAAATTTTCTTGCACTATTGAGTAGTGCGTTTTTTTAATTAATTCAAAGTTCTCGACACAAAATATAGCAGCGGCTAACCAAGTTCTCCAGCGAATTATTACTGGTTGTATTGGTAGTTGAGTATTTGGACAATTTTCCTTATTAAATTGAACACCTATTGATCACTCTATGAAATAGGCTAAAATGAATTATTTTTAAATTCGAGGCTGCCTTAACCATATAAGATGCAGCATCTGATAAAAATACGAATTTTTCTATCGGAACGCTCTTGGTCAACAAAAACTTGGTTAATGTTTTTTGAATTAAGCCGGTTACACTTAAATTGTTGATTTCTTTCAATTATTTGGATGTAATTAAATAGAATCTACTAGATTCATTGGATTCATTGGTTTCATCATATATGTCCCACATGGGTTAGTTGTTTCATCAACCACAAGATAAAAATAACTTTTGCCAAAATTTTTTAAATGTCATTTACAGTTTGCAGCTGACTCGTCCAGTATGTTAAATTTTCAATTGTTTGTCAAAAATGATCTGAAATTGGAGTTGGCAGTGGTTGGCTTCAATGAACGCCTTGAATAAGTCCTCATTTAACTGGGCTTGTTCGCTGATTTTTGGTTGTTTGCTTGTTGCGATTTTAATCTTTTGAGCTGGTCTTTTATTTATTTGACAGGCCAAATCACAATACATTTGTTATCTGCATGAATCTGTAAAATCCAAATAAGCAGTTATGAATTTGGGTTTGCATTTGTTAAAAAAAACGGATTTTACAAATCTGCTACTGCTACCAAAGCTTTAAGCTTTTGTAAATTCATTAATATTGTTAACATTAGCTACCAATAATTTGCTTGAATACGTAATTTATTAAAGCAGCAATCTACTTTTACCATAAACCATATGTCTTTCTTTTTTGGCTATAAAATTATCGAGTGGAATTTTTTTAATACTTCAAAAATTGTTAACAAGCTTTCCTATTTTCACTTGTTATTTGGTTTCATGGTCGAGAATTAGAAACTAATATTAATATCCCATTTTTAGATGTTCTTATCAATATAAAATCAGACGTAACAATTAGTTATTCTATTTACAGAAAACCTACGCATGCAGACCGATACCTTAATGCATCCAGCCCAAAAATCATCGGTCATCAACTCTCTAGTTTGCAGAACCGTAAAACTATCTCAACCCGAGTCACTGAATCCAGAATTAAAACTCATTTACGGCTGCTCTTCTTTCTAATAATTTTCACATTAGAGAAAATATGCGTTCCATCACAAAATACACTTCATCAAACTTCCAGAGCCCGAAAGCAACCGCACACTTGCCATTGTTGTCCTTCCTTACATTCAAAAGTTCTTAAGATATAAAATTTCAAAACGAGATTTCTCACTTGTCCAAAATCCATTTCATACATATGCGGCAAAGAATACATTGGAGAGACTGGATGAAAAATATTAAGTCAAAGAACATGAATGAGCCTTAAGAATACTACTAATAAACTCATCAGCAGTTGCTGAAAACAATCACGAGAGCGGACATCACATTTTATTCGATAAAACTAAATTTCTTGCATGTAATCAACTCTTCCATACACGACAAATCAAAAGATCTCGAGAAATCTATAAGCAACTAAAAAATATTAACCGTCCCCTTTAAACAATACCCAAGCAGATCCAGAGAGAGAATGCATACCAGATTCAGTTAAGCTCTAATGAAGGCAACAGAATGATTGGCGAAGCGTTAGCAAGAATGACAACCTACGCAGGAAGAATCGAGAAGATTACTAAACAGTACGGTAATAATAAAATGAAACATAAGTAACAATTAAATGACATAATACTGCGATAGTTGAAAATTCTCCATTTAAAATTAACATCAGAAAGACTCAAGAAATTGTTCAATTAAAATAATTCTAATAATTTTTAGAGTTCTTTCCGATTTGATTTTTTCCTTGCGTTTCTAATTAAGAACCTAAGATTTCTGTAAGCATGTCCCGGTATTTCTACTTTATGTTCATTGAACGTTAATTACTTCTCAAACGTAACGCCATCTCTAATGTAATGTAGGTAATGTCATCTTTTGCAGAAACTGATTTAATAGTAATTTTATTTTTCTATTTAAATGTCGTTTTTCTACTCCCTTCTGTAAAATAACTAATTAACTGCAATTTTTTTTTTCTCTCCTTCTTATTTTCATGCATAAATTCATCTTATTTTATGCTCTAAACATACGTAGGTTTTTATAAGCAGAAAGTAGCTCCCGAATGATTTGTTGATAGTTGTCACTTTTTGCGTTCCCAAGAAAATTATGACACACCTCCACAAACGCTACCCAAGCTCTTTTTTCTGCTTTGCTCAACTTCGAATCAAAAACCTCATCCTTCATGAGCTCACGTATCTGCGGACCTACAAAAATTCCTTCCTTCAATTTCGCGTCACTGATTAGAGGAAATTTTGTTTTTAAGTATTGAAATCCTGCACCATCTTTATTCATAGCTTTCACAAAGTTTTTTATGAGTCCCAACATATTGTGAAGGGGTGGCAGAAAAATTTTCTCGCAGTCCAGTCCAGGAGTCAAACTTTTTCTTGATGGCCAGGTTTTTACTTTGTAATGTTTGTCTCTTGCGCGGCTATCCCACTCACAAAGAAAAGAGCAAAATTTTGTGTATGCTCCTTGTAGTCCAGTAGTATAGCGACAACTTTTAAATCAGGACAAATATTCCATAGGTATT